ATTAAATTGTTGTAAATACATTGGGCTCAGCCAGGCACAGTGGCTCTCACCTGTAATCCCAGCACTCTGGGAGGCCTAACCAGAGCAGATTACTTGAGCCCAGGAGTTTGAGACCAGCCTGGGCAACATGGTGAAACCCTATCTGGTGAAACCCTATCTCTACAAAAAATACAAAAATTAGCTGGGTGTGGTGACACACGCCTGTAGTCCCTGCTACTCCAGAGGCTGAGGTGGTGGATCTCTTGAGCCCAGAAGGTCGAGGTTGCAGTGAGCCATGATCTGCGTTCCAGCCTGGGTAACACTCCAGCCTGGGCAACACTCCAGCCTGGGCACCACTGCACTCCAACCTGGGTAACAGAATGAGAGCTCATCTCAAAATAAATACATACATACATACCTTGGTCTCAGAAGGTACAGTTGGCTTTTGAACAACATGGAGGTTAAGGGTGCCTACTGTGTAGTCAAAAATCCAAGTATAACCTTTGACTCCCCCAAAACTTAACTACTAATAGCCTATTGATCACCTGAAGCCTTACCAATAACATAAACATTCAGTTAACATATCTCTTGTATGCTATATGTATTATGTACCATATTCCTATAATAAAGTAAGATAGAGAAAAGAAAGTTGTCATTAAGAAAACAGTAAGGAAGAAAAAATATATTTACCATTCCTATAGTGGAAGACGCTCATCATAAAAGTCTTCATCCTCATTGTCTTCACGTTAAGGAGGCTGAGGAGGAGAAGGAAGAGGAGGGGTTGGTCTTGCTGTCTCAGGGATGGCAGAAGCAGATGAAAATTGGAATTTAGTGGACTTGCACAGTTCAAACCATTGTTGATCAAGGGACATAAGGTTCTTCCTAAAATTCTCTAGCTAACACACTCTCTCCTATTATTTATGTTACCTGTGAACTAATTTCCTATTTTTTAACCATGTAGAAATTTTAAATAATTGTTTCATATATAAGCTCTCACAACCATTAATAACATCTTTCTTAAAATAATAAATAATAAATATTCATGTATACTTCCACTGGCTGGTAGACTTTCAATATAATAATTTTTTTAAATTCACAAGGAAAATTTCACTCCAGGTTACATCTAGAATACTCACCAATATTTGGAAGTAACTATTCAGATATTAACAATAAATCCAAATGGCCTGGCCTATTCTCATTACTGGTGCCCTACCTGATTAGATTTAACAGTCACTCAATCCTTCATGTGATCTTGATCACAGCCAAGTTAAAGGATGCCAGGAATAGTGATGAAATAGGAATTTGGCTATTCAGGTTTCCAAAAGGCAACGCTGCACTACAAGAAGATAGTAAGTTGGGCCAAATACCAAGTCTGGCTGAACTGTGATGCATTGCTACTTGAAAGCTGAATAATAGGAAAAGGAGACTGCTTAATTATGAGATATTTCTGTTGCTGGGGCTGGGAGCTTGGAGAGAGGATGGTGTCCAGGGGAGCTTTGCCCAGTCTTGCGCAGATGGACTTAAAAAGAATTGTTTCAACATTGAGTGAAGGAGCAGAAATGGAGTTCAGTAAAGAAAGTAACCCAAGAACTGGAGATAGATGAGCTGGCTCTCCTAGGAGGGAGACTATTTGAGGTAGATTGGGGAGGAGACTTTTCTACATGACTTTGGTTCCCAGAAGTCTCCACGCACTGAAGTAAATGAGCTCTAGACACTATGAAGAGGGCCAACAGAATCACTGTGAAGAGAAGGATCCTCAGCTCCAGGGATTTCCTCTGCCTACACCCTGCCCTTAAGATCAGGACCCTTTGGCCCTCTTCATAGTGTCTGGGGCTCTGGGGGATAACCCTTGAGCTATGGTACCAAAAAACATACCAGTAGCAACAACGTCCAGGGAGCCTTCTCTTCTCCTTGGGAGAGCTTCAACTCATTTCATCACACTTCTTCCAGGCACCTGCACAACTGGGCTTCCAAAAGTGCTTCAAAGACTTCAGAGCCTCATTCTAATGTCCTCCCCCTACCCCCACCCCACCATAAGTGGGCAAAAAGAAGAGCAGTTATAGCTCTTACCAGGATGCTTACCTGTGCAAGACTCCAAAACCAGTAAGCTTGGGAACATCCATGGAGCCACAGGGACACGAGAAAGCCCACATTGCTAGTGAGATCTTGTAAGAAGTCCACAGTTCATAAGAGGAGAGGTAAAGAAAAATATGTGCTCGTGATGAAAATACACACTGTGATACAAGGCCTCTTAGTTTAGGGAGGTGGGAGTTTCCCCATCTATATAAGCTGGTCTCAAACTCCTGAGCTCAAGCAATCTACTCTCTTCGGGCTCCCAAAGTGCCGAGATTACAGGTGTGAGCCAACATGCCTGGCAATAATGCTACCAACAGATGGTTTTTGGGCTTGAATACCTTCAGGGACATGGATCTTCACTACCACTTCACAAGAGTATAAATGTGGATTAAAAGTAACAATACATATAAAGTGCTTAGTACAGTGACTAGCATGTAGGGAAAGTTTGAGTAGTGTTAGCATTTCTATTTATCATTGTGGTGTCAAATGTTGAGTGGCCAAACCTGTGATGAATGGAGCAGGCTTGACTTCCGTGACAGAAGAACAAAGGATTTAAACAAGGGAGGCCAAACTCCTCCTCATCCGCCTCTTGCCAAATAGCTCCTAGCCAAGAGTAGATAAGGTAAGGTTTAAGGTCAGACAAAAAGGAC